TTGCTTCACTGTTGAGACTTTGTTTTGTACCCTTGGATCCATTTTATTTTATAAATCTATCCAATTCCAACTAAGAAACCTTAGACCATCTCTAATAATATCTTATTTTGAAGAAATTAAGATATCAGAAATGAAAGAAAACATTCTCAAATGGTGTATCATATTGAAAGAAAATAATGAGTTAATAAATATTATTCTCTCAAATTTAAAGAAATACTATTTACAACTTCATTTCAGTGTTATATATTTTTTTATTTATAAATTAATCATTAAGCTTTTATATATTTTTTTGTATCTAGGAAAATTCCAATATTTATGTTTTATACTTCAAAATTATTTCAGCTTTCATAATAAGATTACAAGTTTATATAAATAATTTTATATACTTTAAGAAACTAAATTAATGTATATAACAAAGATATAGTTAAAATAAAATTCTCTTGGGTACAAGTTGATTCCGATATAATGATTATTTCAAGCTCTGTTTTACGTGAATTTCAGTTGGGTTCTTATATTTACCCTGTTATTGTCGTTTTTAATCATAGTTTTCGAAATGTGCTATTTCTGTAAATAATGTCTCGATTGGAGAAGGTTAATAGAAATTTTAGAAAAAATTACCTTGGATCACATTTGTAAGTTTTTATAATAACAAATATTATTAGAATTAATTGTAAGTATCAATAATAGAATATGTTTAGATTATTCTATTTTGAAAGAACAAAATAACTGGAATAAAATAAAATAAAATCATTTTAAGTTTATCTCATTTTGAGAAAAAAAAATGATGTAAATCCTGAAGATGCCCTGGGAATAAAATGTAATTCTTAGCAAAAGAGAGAAGTGTTGTTGCTTAATAGAGTATTTACAATAAAAATGATTCACCAAAAAAACACAAACATGTAGAGATATATATATTCCGGTTATTTACCTAGATTCAAACCAGTTGTTCAAAAATTAAAAACCTAGATTCAAAACCTAGCTAAGCTGTTTCCCTAAACGGAAACTTAAATGTAATTATGTACTATATTGCTCGAAGCCCATAAAGGGTAAGTTTCTTTACGTGTACATGAATTTTAGTTAAAACGATATGATTAATCTAAACACGTGTTGCATGACAAGGTGGTGACTTTTGATTCATTTATTTTACCATTTTGTTTCCAGTAGAAGTGTAATCATAACTGTATGGTAGTGCGCAATGAGTAGCTTTTTAAAATAATCAAATTACCTTTTATCAACGCTGTCAATTCCTTTTTGTAACTTATTTATCAACTGATGACGACTGAGAAGTGCATATTTACACGTCATCTCAAAGTAAGAATATATATAGTTATTCCATGGGTAACATGCTATAACCTTAAAAATAAATACAAGTACATAAAATGTAATAATTTTAAAAAGTTACTAATTTACTATATTGGTGTTTTTATGTTGATATATATATGGTATTTATTTATTTTTAAGTTTAACTCAAATAATGTCTAAAAATTTACGAGATAATAATGTTAAAGTACTACTACTTAGCTTTACTAAACAGTTAATGGACTGTGAGTTATCTTGTCGGTGGAGAATCCAAAAAGAGTTAATTGGCCGATACACCCCAAATGGGGGTGTATATTAGTCACTTGCCCATGATGGGACATATTTATTTTGTCTGACCAAATTGCCCTTTCTCTCTCTCCTTCCTTCCTGCATTTATATGTGGGTGTTTAACTTTTTTTTTTTTTTCATTTTCGTTATCACTACTCTTCTCTCCTCTTATCATTTTCAAAATGAATTACATACAAAATAAATATGTTAAATATTTTTGAGTTCACTTTGATTCTTAAATAATAATTGTAAATTTTAAATTTACTCAATGTGATTTGGAAATACAAAATTCAGTGATGCATTTTTTTGATGATATCAATTTTATGGGTTTTAGATTCGACGTCGTGTTAGCGGTTAACAAATATTGTAGACGTTAACAAAAATGTTAACTGTTAACACTTATTTTTACGCTTCGCGTTAATAAATATGTTCGCTGTTAACAAATATTATAGACGTTAACAAAAGTGTTAACTGTTAACACTTATCTTTACGCTTCGCGATAATAAATGTGTTGGCTGTTAACAAATATTGTAGACGTTAACAGAAGTGTTATATGTTAACAAATGTTTTTACGCTTCATGTTAATGAGAGGAAAGAGAAAGGGTATTCTCGGCATTTCCTTGCCAAATAGTTGTGTCAGTATCCTTTATGTCCAATCAATAGTAGTTTGTTAATTTGAGCTGCAAATAAGGGTAATACACTAAATCACTCATCCAAAAAGAACTGATACTATGATACATATATAGTATTTTGCTAAAAGATGATAAAAATACATACATACCATTTTAAGTAAAAAATAAACTAACAGTTTGGCACATATTTATTGGAATCTATTAGCCTGAGTAAAATATTTCAATCCCATAGTTATATTTTATTATTTATAATATTTCAGAAAAATATAAACAACAAAAATACAGCAGCAAGTTAGCCAAAAATATAATGCACTTTCCATCAATACGATCTTTTGTACTATTTGAGGTAGCAATAAATTTGAAAAGTCATATTCTATACAATTAGACCCAAATTTCTCGGAAAATGAACATACCAAAAGGGAAAATTGACAAAATAACCTTCAACTTTAGAAAAGAAGCCAAAAAAATCTTTAACTCACAAACAAGCCATTTTAATCTTTAACTTATAGTCAAACACGAATAAATCTCATACTTTCGTTGACCAAATCATTTTAATCTCGTCAAAATTCAACCGTTTAGTTCCGTTAGTTATATTAACGGTTGACTTTTAATGAAAGTATGTGATTTTTTAATCCTAATTTAAAAATCGAAGATTAAAATTGTTACTTAAAAATAACCTAACTAATTTTTTTTTCTGACAGAAAAAATATAATTTTTCATATCGATTGTAATCATTGACTTAATAAAATATGTTTAAATAAGTTTAGATATAATATTTAAAAATGAATTAAAAACAAAAAGTTTATATACATCAGCTGTCAAAAATCCCTTTCACGCACTTGACTTCCTCATTTTCACTTGTTTCATCTCTATTGAGTATATGTGATTATACTTTTAACAACAATGTGTTTAGGGTTTTACCTTTAACTTTTATGTTTTTATTCTTAAAGTTTTTTGAACATAAGCACTCAATTATTTTATTTTACATCTGAATTTACAGTATACTTGTATTTTTAATCAATTTTTTTTACTAAACATTTTTTTTCTTTTTAATTCATTTAAAAATATTATAACTAAGCTTATTTGAACATATTTTATTAAATTTGTCACTCTAATCGATAAGATAAACTACAATTTTTAAGATATTTTTAAGTGAACAATTTTAATCTTCAACTTTTAAATTAAAATAAAAAAATCTCATACTTTCGTTGATCAAGCCATTTTAGGCTCATTAAAAGTCAACCGTTAGATATAACTAACGAGATTAAAATGGCTTGGTCAACGAAAATATGAGATTTATTCGTGTTTGACTAGAAGTTGAAGATTAAAATGGCTTGTTTGTGAGTTGGAGATTTTTTCGGCTTATTTTCGAAAGTTGAGGGTTATTTTGTCAATATTTCCCATACCAAAATCAAAATATACTGTATATCGGACAGCTGTGAAATTGCTTTGTTGTACTTTAGACAACCAACAAAACCAAAAGTCTAACTGGTCCGAAGTAAGGAACTCCTCCTCTCTCAGATTTAGGGCAGCGATGTGTTGACAGCTCATTACCAGTTCTCTTTTAACTTTGTGATTCATAATCTCCAAACTATTGATTTCGAAACAAAATTAGATGGATGATTTCAGCCTTTCAGGTAAAAAACTTTGACTTGGTTTTGTACTTGCAAGGTGAAAACCGAAAGTATCATTTATCGAAACAGAAGTAAATACATTTTTAAAAATATATATATTTTGCTAGTTCAACGAAAGTATTATTCATGTTTTTTTATTGTGAAGTTGAATCTGTCTTTGTATTTAAAAATAAAACTGTGATACGGCTGATAAGAGACTAAATAAAAAAAAAATTGTGATAACACATGCAAAAGATTGGTCTTAATATGGCTATAAATGGTGACCAAGAGAATGAGGAGGAACAATGTATTCCTTAATGTTCCTAAAATAATTTACCATTCATAAGAAATAGTTTTTCCTTTCTATTCCTCCTCATTCATTTTATTGTAGAGATTTATTAAGCACATTTGTTCCTTATTAAATTTGATAAGGAATAGTTATTCCTCTTCATTCCCATAATTTTATTCCCATCTATTCTATTCCTATTCGTTCCTGATATTCCCATAATTTCCAGCTATGTGATTGATTCTCTCGCACAACTTCTTTAAACATTATTAAAAAATCAAAACTTCTTGTTTGCTTGTCTTTTCAACGTGAGAACAATTGGAAGAAGAATAGAATCTTGATTCAAAATCAAAACAAAAGTAGGGGAGAAACAATGGCTTTTTACTTGATTCCAAGTGCAACTTAATGGGCAATCAAAATAGTTAAATACGTTACTTTATTAGTTTAGAGCTTTTCAGCAATTACAAGTTAACAACAAAGTGGCTGTAGTTTAGTGGTGAGAATTCCACGTTGTGGCCGTGGAGACCTGGGCTCGAATCCCAGCAGCCACATCTTTTTGAAAATCAATTATTTTTTCCCCTTAGTAAATGGGCTTCCGCCAAATTTATTCACTATTTTTATAATGGGCCCTCAAGCCCAAAGTACTTTCTTTGCATACAAGGAACTGTCGATCCACACGCTATTACCACACTTCCTTTAGTAATTTCCTTTTTTTTTTCTTTAAGTTGCGTTGATTCCTTTTTTCGTAAAAAAGGAAAATTATCAATCTATAAATCACTTACAAACCCACCTGTTTGATTGTAAATCATATTATCAGAACTCTCTTCTCTCGTTTTCATCTCTAGGGTTTTGGTTCTGCCGTTTTTTTCTTCTCAAAACGACATGGAGTGCAATAAAGAAGAAGCCACAAGAGCAATGTCTATAGCAGAGAAGAAACTCACAGAGAAAGATTACAACGGGGCCAAGAAATTCGTCAGCAAGGCTCAGAGCTTATATCCAAACCTTGATGGTCTGAGACAAGTTCTAACGATGATAGATGTTTTCGTCTCTGCATCAAACCAAAACAACAACGAGTCTGATTTGTACGGAATCCTCGGTGTGGATCCTTTAGCTGATGACGTAACAGTGAAGAAACATTACAAGAAGTTGGCTCTTCTTCTACATCCCGACAAGAACAAGTTTCTTGGCGCCAAAGAAGCGTTTGAGCTTGTTTTAGATGCTTGGTGTCTTTTATCTGATCACTCTAAGAGAAAGTCTTATGATCAACAGAGAAAATACAAAGAAGAACAGCAAAAGAGAGACGCTGATGCAAACCAAGAAGAAGAAAAAATCAAGAGATGGTTTGACGAGTTACGAGAGGCAGAGAGGCGTTTCAAGAATGGGATGAGGAGAGAAAATGAAAACTCGACAGCAGAAGCAGAGAGGCTCTTCAAGAGGAGAGTGTTCACAACAGGAAACGCAAACTCTACATCTGAGGCAGAGAGATTATTCAGGAAGCCAATGAAAGCAGAAGATGCAAACTCTACTTCAGAGGCAGAGAGACTCTTTGGGTGGAGGCCATGGAGATGTGTGAACTAAGGTCTCGTCTTTTTTTTTTTTTTAAACCTAATGTATGATTGTGTATAATTTGATTTGAATGAATGTAATTAGTCAAAAGTAGTTCCACTAATCAAAGTTCAAAAACTTTCTATTACATCTAATGTAACCATAACAATAGAGACAGTGTAACCATAACAAACTGTCTCTAAGAGAATAAAACAACTCATTTATTGAACTCTAGTCTCACCAGATGCTTTCTCACGCAAGCTTGTTAATATTCCATCAACAAGCTTATCTTTACCAAACACACAAGTCTTCTCAACATCTTCAACACTGTCCCAACAACCTAGAATTTTAAGTACATCCCTCTCTGTTTTATTCCCTTCCTCCTTCTTCTTCTTCTTTTCATCACCACTCTCTTTTAAAGCAGCTCCTTCATTCTTCTCTGCCTTAGATTCATGTGGAGCTAGTGTTGATGAAGGAACAATGTAACCTGATTCAATCTTCGCCTCAGGCATCATCTGTATCAAACTCTGCAGCTTCGGATAACCGAGGTGTTGATAATCTAAACGGTACTTGAACTCTTCCAAGAAGTCTTTCTTGAAGTTACTCATGTTATAGCCTCCAGGGTTTTCCTTTGTTATCTTCTTTATCAGCTTATGACAATCAGTAATCACCTCGCTTCTTGATCTCTCCAATGGTTTCTCGCTTACACCACTGTTCTTGGACTTCTTCTCAGCATCTGCTTCATTACATTGAGATTTTGACATGTTCACAAACATTGATCTCAAGACACTAGAGGCTTGAGGATTGTTAAGACAAGAGCTTTTTTTCTCTGTGAACCTAGTTACTCTGAAAGGTAGAGTATCAGAAGGATTCTCCTTGATCCATTTCTTATCAGATACCAACAGAGAAACTAAATCAAGTGTTTTGGATAGATCTAGGTGTTTGAGAGATGAAGGTCCTTCGTTCTTAAGATTCTTAGCCAACGCTTCTCTGAACAAAAAAAAAAGAACAAAAAAAAGAACTGGTTACTTACTATAGATTGAATATTGTAAGGGTTTAAGAGAAGAATCAAGAACCTTGATGGTGAGTGAGAAACAACGACGAAGCCTCTTGGAGAATTAATGAAAGACTCAACATCATTCCAAAATGAATCTTGTGCAAAAATATCATCAACTCTAGCTTCACTTGCTGTTGTATTGCTAAGCTCTTTAGTTCTTCCACAAAACAAGTTGAATCTCTTCATAAGACGACTTAAAAGCCCTGGACTCTCATTGACCACTTCAATGTCTGCTTTTACCTCCTTAGCAGATTCACTAGAGGTGGAAGATGCAACTCGAGATTCTAAGTCCTTATCATCAACCACCACTTCTACTTCACTAACAACACCTTCATGTTTCTTTTCTTGGAGATGCTCTAATCCAATCTCAGGGGGCCCATCTCTTTTCTTGGAAGAAGAAACATCATCCTCTACAGTTAAAGCTATCTGATTGTCTTCATCTTTTGCCTGAGCACACATTACAGGAACAGAATCTTGACCAATCTCTAGTGATTCAGATTCCTTTTTGACATCTTCAACAACCTGAGGCATTTTCTCAACACGTACAAATTTTTTATCTATTCCTTGTTTACAAGCATGAACAAGAAACACACCTTCTCCCTTTGGAACAACCTTTAAGATCTCCGGCATAGACAACAGAAACCTAGAAAACCTCTTATATCCATAAAAATCTTCACCCAACCGTATCTTTCTCTTCATCAGCTGCTTACGCAGCTCTGTAATAGTTATTCCTCTAGGATACAAACTCAACACCAAACCAATCTTCTCAACAACTTCTACCGGTACAGGACTAGTATCAAAACTAGATTCCTGTAATACAGGTTCTTCTGAGACTGTACAACTCTCAGAAGAACCCGTATCAGTATTCGAATTCAACTCCTGCAACTCTTCTACTCTCACAACACTAGTACAAGCCTCCTCTTGCTTGGTGGGTGTGGCAAATGGGTCAAGAAGAGGAGTTTTATAGTGACCATACCAAGAGTTATAAGGACCATCAGGTGGCTGGTTAAAGCATTTACCAGTCAAGTTATTTCCTCTAAGCAAAGCATTCCAGTCCCACATGATGGAAGCAGCGCTGCACAACACACCCGGAGTCATCTCTTCGTAGCCAGCGAGCAAGATGTTGTAGTTGCTCATCCTGAGCTTGTGTAAGACGCTGGAGAAGTCACTGTCGCTGGAGATGAGGAAGAGATGAGCTGGAGGTGGGTTCTTAGCAACCCAACACATTAGATCCGTAATAAGAGCTCTATCTGTACTGTTCTTCCCACCTACATACAAAACAAAAAGCAGTGTTCTAAAAACCGGTCTAGACGGCTATAAATTGGATCTAAATAGAACAATTTTGTTTTTTTTTTAATAAAAATACGTTACAAAAATCAGTTTAATCGTCTACTTAGGACATCTCCAATCCAACTCCATACTCTACTTCAAAATGAAGTAAAAACGATTATGGAGTAAAAAACACTCCATTTTTCAGTTCATAATGGGATTTACTCTATAAATTGAGTAATCTATTTTTTTTTGGTTCATTACTAAATTATGGAGTTAGAAATGAAGTAAAATTGAAGCATTTTTACTCCATAATCATTTTTACTCTATTTTCAAACAGAATATAGAGTTTTACATCGAAGATGCTCTTAATAATTCTCTTAATAATTTTTTTAAAGAAAAAAAAAACCTAAACAAAAAGATTTTTTTCCAAAAAATCAGTGTAGATGCTCAAAAAATCGGTTTAGACCATGATTAACACAGTCTTTAGGGTTTTAGAGACCGGGGTTAATCATGTTCTTAATTGCCAACAAATTCTTGAATTTGAGCTTAATCAATAGTTCTCTTTTTTTGGTATGATAATCAATAATTCTCTAATAAACACATAATTACCGCCTAGCAATTTTTTGAACATTGAAAAAAAAAGTAAGCATATTTTTACATAGAAATGAAGCAAAAAAAAAAAAAAAAAAAAA